AAAAAATCATGAAATAAAAAAGAACTGTTTAAGCTTAAAAACTAAAAAGAACCATTTGTCTCCAGTTGTTGAAAGGTTTTATAAAGCAACAGCAAGATGGGGGAAAAAAATAAAAAGTACAAAACTGTCCCAGAATGCTGAGAGATGGCCAAAAATATTAATATGCAGGAACATGGCAAACCTTCCCAGGCTGTAAATATTTCCTCCGTGTCCCACGTATAATCAGCAAGTGTGGCAATCCTTTTTCCCTCTCAGCTCTTCCTGTTTGGAATCTATGCTGAATAACATTCCTAAAAGAACAGAATTAAAGTGAAGAAATCGTGAAGAAACAGGGTCCATCAGAGATCTGCAAATTCCTTGTTTCAAATATCGTAGGGAGGAGGTTTCTGCCCCTAGAACCAGGAAGAAGGAGAAGGGTATATTTATATATAAAACAAATTAAAAACCGACCAGCAGAAATAAAAAATAAATAGGGTCTCCTATATGCAAATGTATTAATTTGCTAAGTACGGTACATGTATCAGTGCAGAACGTCACTGAGGGTACGATGTTCAGATATGATACAGGACCCAGCGAAATTTAATGTCAGATCAACAACACATGATTTCTTTTTTCTTTTTAGTTTAAATCCAAGTCAGTTAACATACAGTGTCATACTGACTTCAGGAATAGGAGTCAGTGATTCCTCACTTATACATAACACCCAGTGCTCATCCCAACAAGCAACTTCTTACATGACCATCAGCCATTTAGCCCATCTCCCCATACACTCCCCTCCAGCAACCCTCGGTTTGTTCTGTTTTTGAAAATCTCTCTCTCTCTGTTTTTATCTTTTTTTTTCCTTCCCTTTCTCTATGTCCATCTGTTTTGTTCCTTTAATTCCATATATGAGTGAAATCATATGATATTTGTCTTTCTTTTATTAAGTTCACTTAGCATAATACACTTTAGTTCTATCCACATTTTTGCCAATGGCAAGATTTCAATCCTTTTGATCACCAAGTAATACTCCATTGTATACATATACACCACATCTTTATCCACTCATCAGTCAATGGACATTTGGGCTCTTTCCATACTTTGGCTATTGTCGATAGAACTGCTAAAAACATTGGGGGTACATGTGCTCCTTCGAATCAGCACTCCTATATCCTTTGGATAAATACCTAGTAGTGCAATTGCCGGGGCGTAGGGTAGTTCTATTTGAGCCTCCATATTGTTTTCCAGAGTGGCCGCACCAGTTTGCATTCCCACCAGCAGTGCAAAAGGGTTCCTCTTTCTCCGCATCCTCGCCACATCTGTTGTTGCCCGAGTTATTAATTTTAGCCATTCTGACAGGTGGGTGGTGGTATCTCGTCGTGGTTTTGATTTGTATTGTCCTTATGATGAGTGATGTTGAGCATGTTTTCATGTGTCCGTTAGCCATCTGGACGTCTTCTTTAGAAAAGTGTCTATTCATGTCTTCTGCCCATTTCGTCACTGGACTATTCATTTTTTGGGTGAACAACACATAACTTCTTAGTATAAATATAGTGTGGCATAAGTATGCTCCATAAAATTCAAATTCAACTGGACATCCTGTATTTGCTGCATCTGGTGATTCTAGAGCCTTTGGTGGTCAAGCTGATTGAAGACTGGCCGTTCATACTGACAGGACAGTGAGTGGGGCCTCTGTTGGCTGAAGCAAGTCTGTGCCCATCAGTCAGGAAGGCATCTTCACTGAGCCCGGCAGGTGGCCGCTCAGGGCCTCTGCACGATCTGGGCCCTCCATCAGCTTCAGGGAGATGCACTAGACCTCGTGTGACCTGCCGAAAGGTCAGGCAACACCTCTGAAAAACCAGAGCTGGGCTTGTTTCCCACTGTCCTTTGCTGCTGGGGTTGGACACCCATGGCCAAGTTCAGGCACTTGAAAATCATCCAGAGAGAGACGGGCATCTTGATTAGTCAAAAGAGAGGAGGACACGACATGTGGATGCCCCATTCTCCCGCAGGCCCTGCCCCTAGGGAGAGAGTCATCCCCCAAACCCAGAGTTCATGGCCAGGCGAGGGCCTCGAAGTTTGCTTCAAATCCTTTCTCTCCCACCAGTTGTTCGAGCCGGTTTTCCCTTCTACAAAATGTTGCCAAAGGAATCCCTACTCGGTGAAACTGGAGAATGTAGGGAAGGGCCCACCGGGAGCTGGTGAATGCTGGCGCCATGATGGTTACTTTGGCCCCTTGGGATGGCCCATGGGGCTGCCCCAGCTGAGTGTAGCTCTCTCCCCTCTCAGGAAAGAAGGAATCCCTCCCTCCAGGCCAGTCAACCAGCCATCCACAGCCTCTTCTTCATAACTGACATCCTCAAGAAGCAACGCCCAGCTTCAGTCAAGCCCCATTTCCCTCACCCCACACTCTCCCAAAGCTGCTTGTCTTTGGCCAAAGACTCCTCCTATGCCAAGGCTAGTCGTTGGGTGACGTTCTCCATTATTCATGAGCACCAACCACTCAGGAACCATGCAGAGCCCTTTACCTTTGCTCCCCCCACCACTTCCTAAGACCCCTACAAGTTCATTTAACAGATGAGGACACGGGCTCAGAGAGGTCAACCAACTTGCCCAAGGCCACTGAGATGGAACGCAGCAGAGGCAAGGCTTGAAGCCACACCCAGTCCCAAAGCCTGTACTTTGAACCTCAACACTCTACCCACTTCTCATCCTAGACCCATCCCCCCGGGTGGCCCATGCAGCTAGTTCTGAGGAGAATGGACAGAACTGGCAAACTCTTACTCATCCTTCAAATCCCAACTCACTCCTCGCCTCCTCTGCACGTCCCTGCCTCACCAGGGGCATGCCCTGAATCACATCACCCTACTGTCACCTCATCCAGAATTATGAAACGATGTGTTATCGTCTGGTGGCATTCACATCTGTGCCCCCACTAGACTGGCTTCCCGGAAGGCACTGTGCCTGCCTGTCCATGTCTGTGCCCGCAGCATTTTCCGGGGATGCCTCCAGCTGCACTGACCTCCAGTGTTCTCCAGACACTCTGGGCCAGCTCAGCTCAGACCCTGATCTTCCCTCCCCCATGGAAAACTCTTCCAGCCCCTTTGCATGGGCCTTTCCCTCATCAGATCTGTGCTTCGGTGACCGCTCCTTGAGAGGGCTTTTTCAGACCACCCACTCACAATAGATCTTCCTTCCCATACCTTTCCCCTGACTCCCTGTCACTTTGAACCTCCTTCCTGATTTAACTTTCTCTGCGGCAGGAACATGGCATGCCCCTGGTGAGGGGCACAGGTGAGCCTGTGCGTGCATTTGTTTATTGCCTCATGTCTGTCTGTCTTTCCTCCAGACATGTCCACCCGTCCCCCCGGGGCAGGGGCAGAGCCTTAATCCATCTCCCTCCTTCCTGCATCGCTGCGCACATCAGAGGTGCTCGGCAGACATTTGTAGACTGAATGAACCCTCAGTGCTCGGTGTATAGAGACATTCAGTAAGTGAACTTATTCCTAATTAATCATTTTAGCAGGACCATCTTGGAAGCTTCCCAAGGGGGAAGCCGACTTTGCCCTGCTACATGATAGACCCTCCTTTCCCCGGCCATCCACTATCCACACTTCTTTTCAGATTACTTTCCCCCTGTTATAAGAACGGTGACCTCACAAAAAAGGCCAGAAAGAAAACCCTGAGCCGTCGGACACTTTTCCAGACTGTGGCCATCTGGCCAGACCCACCAGCTTGTGCAGCAAGGGCATAATGCGTACGACATTCATGAATTAACCCTTCCTCTCTAATCCCAGCGCCTGCCGCCCCCTCACTGGGGCCACCCCCTCACTGGGACCGCCCCGATTTGGGCCTCTACTCAACAGCCAAGAAAAATATCACAGCCTTGGGTGTGGGGAACAGTATTATATGTAAATACATCCCCAAACAGCCCCATAAAAGCACAGATCTATTGATAAGGGAGCAAGGAGGTCAGGGAAAGGGAGGGAGGATCACAGGTTCCCAGCTGGAAGATAAAACACCCGTGCCCTCCCAGAGTGATCTTGGGAATTACCCGGGAGATGCCCTGTAGTTCAGCAGAAGCATGCTGACCCCATTCACTCAGTCCCGTGAGTCTGTGGACACCTGTGTACCTCTTGGCTGCTAGGGGGGAAAATGTCCCCTGGTCCCTCGCTGTCTGTCCATGAACTGTTGTCTCTTAGACCCATTTTCCAATTCCAGGCCTATGACACGTGCAAGGGTGGAAGCCCTGGGAGATCACCAAGTCAGTCACCGAACGACTGAGCACCCCAGTCATGAGGGGCATGAAGCAGAGTGTGGGGGTGGGGTCCGCGGGCCATATTATCTGTGCGTTTCACTTAGGGGATTGTTATAACGCCAGCAGAAGTGCGTACTGTGCTATGCCTTCCCGAGGCCACGTGCAGGGCTGCTCAGTGCAGCACTGGGGGGGCCAAAGGCCCGCGCGCACGCCGGCGGCAGCAGAGAGCACCTTCGGGAGCGGAGCCCGACACTGAACCCGCCGCGGCGCGCACAGCGATGCGAGTGCACCTCTCACACACAACCTTGGGCCTGGACGATTCCACGTCCGCAAAGTTCACGCAGCAGTGAAACGAATCACCCCCCAGAGAAGCGGACGAGACGGGTGGGCTGGAGTGTCCTATTTCATAGTCCGGACCGTGGCTTCGGGGGCGCGTTCTCTGTGACAATCAGCAAGCGTGGTACACTTGGGCGGGTACACTTGTGCGTGTGCGAACCTGCCTTGCAGGCCTGCGTTCTAAAGGGGGAGGGTGGCGGGGCGTTGAGGCTTCCCCGGGGCTCCCCGCATAGGAGGAGGGCCGCCGCCGCCGCCGCCGGGCCAGCTGGGCCGGGAGGCGGGCGAAGGGCTGGGGGCGGCGGAGGTGGGCAGCGGGCGCCCGCCCTCGGCCGGAGCCCCGCGGCCCCACCCCGCGCCAGGCGCCGCGCTGCCTCCGCCTCCGCGTCCCGCGTTGCTGGGCAACCGGTCTCCCTGGCGACGCGCGACGCTGAGCCCCGGGCTGGTGCGTGCGAGGCGCAGAGACCTGAGCCCACATGGCGCAGAAACCTCTCGGCACCGCTGCGGCCGAGCGCATGAACCTCGTGGCGCAGGACGAGATCTGGTAACGCCCGGGCCGGTGCCCGGTGGGCTGGGCCCTTCCCGCCTCGAGTGCGCACACGTGGCGGCCTCAGTCCTGCCCCTCCCCCCACTCCGGGAGGTGGGCGGCCCCCTGGGCCAGGACCCTGCGCTGGAGGCGGTCGGGGCGCTGTTAGGGACAGGGGGGCCCCCAGAAAGCCTTTCTCCTCTTAGGCACACCCCGAAGGATAAAAGATACTGCATCTGGTTTTACAATCATCTGCAAAGCTTTGCTTGTTGAGCCGACTAACATGTTATTTTTAAGATTTGCCGAATTTAAAAAAAATAATAAAACAAATATCTTAATATTTAATTGGAATGAGATATACACGTGCTCTTTTCATTTTTGAATCTCCTGCTTTTTTAAGTAGTAAGAAATTTCAATTTAAAAAACAGACCCATTTTCTAAAAGATTTATGTTCGGCAGACGTTTGTAATGGATGATTTTATTTGAGGTCCTATTGAATCGCTAAATATACCATCTCTTTGAAGTTTCAACCAACATGGGAGGTTACTAATTTAGATGCAAGTAAGTGAAGTTGAGTAACAGTAAAGGCTAATTGCTTACCTCTTAAACTTCAGTTATCTGCTTGCCCTCTCTCTGATTTTTATCATGTCCTTGTAAAGCCTGTGTTAATCACTTCATATTTTTCTTTAAACTGGCTTTATTTTGCTCAGATGTATTTTTTTTTTAATTTTATTTCTAGGAGAGAGAGACAGCGTGAGCAGGGGAGGGTTAGAGAGAGAGGGAGACACAGAATCTGAAGCAGGTTCCAGGCTCTGAGCTGTCAGCACAGAGCCCGACGCGGGGCTCGAACCCACGAACCGCGAGATCATGGCCTAAGTGAAAGTCGGACACTTAACCGACTAAGCCACCCAGGCACCCCTCAGATGTATTTTTATAGGAAACTTGACATCACTGTTGTCGATGAGAAGCCAGAATCCTTTGGCATAAAATGCACAGCTATTAATTGTTTTTTTTATCTTTGTCTTTACCTTTGCCTGGGACACTTGTAAGACTACTGTAGCAGGTACGTTCCGTCTGTTTAAAAAGCCCCTTCCCCCCTTCTCCACCAGACAAACTTATATTCATCCTTCAGGACCCAAATCAGATGCCCCGCCCTATGTGAAGAGAGCCCGTTCAACCCTCACACTGTTCTGCCCAAGTGGCTATTGAGCCAGTGACTGGCCGGAACTGGAATGAACTGTCAATGTAATATACCAACCGGATTTCGAAGATTTCAGACCCCCCAAAAAACAAACATTAAAATTAACTTCATCTGTTTATTTTCACTCTTCATTAGTGTGGCTTCTAGAACATTGTTATTATTATGTACGTGGCTCATACCCAAGGCTCACATTACATCTCCATTAGCCTAGACCCTGCTTTAGATGCTCAGTGCCCAGGACAGAAGGCTTGATCAGGGCTTTGACACTGGGGGCTGGACGAGGGGGCGGGCGGGGAGGAGGGGCGGGGAGAGAGGGTGCAGTTACTGGTTCCAAAAGAGGAAAAGAAGCTCGAAAATCAAAATGAGTAAATGCTTAATTAGATGTGTGTAAAATGTGACGCACCAGCCCCCACTAGTAGGGCCACTGTATATAAATTATATTTAATGTGGAAGAAAAGCAGGACCAGGATTGGGGCACCTGGGGTGCCATGTTTAAGGGGGGCTCATTCTCAAGGTCAGGTCAGTGCTGGCTTTAGACTTGCAAGAACCTGGGGGTGAGCCCTCCCTTAAATTTTGCACCCCAGGTGCCGCACTCACCCCTCCTCACTCACCCCTCCTTGCTCACCTCACCAAAAGAAGGACTCTACTACCTAGATGGCCCCTCGGGCAGAGCCAGCCCCAAGTCCCGTCTTCTCCCTGATGTGCCATCCAACCCGCACCTGTGGTTCTTTAGACCCGTGTGCCCCTGGCTGTCCCCAGAGACCGGGACCCTTGCTCCCTCTGGCACCCAGCCCCCTTTCTGGCACAGAGCCATCGTTCAGTCAACAACACGCATGGGATAATGTAAAATTTTCCCCCTTGGACCCTATTTTAGGGTTTGCTACTTTAACCTTTCTCCATTGCTGTCCAGCACTTAGGAACTTTCTTTTTCAGGAAATACCGCCTGAAGGCTGAAACCGAAGCGCGGCAAAACTGGGCCCAGAACTGGGGATTTTTAACAACCCCTCTCGATGAGGTAAATATAAATTTTATGAGCCGAGAAGTTATAGAGTTAATTATGTCAAAGAATAAATGGTTAGGAAGTGTATCATTTGTAAACATAAAGTTAAAGAGGGGCATCTGGGAGGCTCAGCTGGTTGAGCGTCTGACTTTGGCTCAAGTTGTGATCTCCCAGTTCATGGGTTTGAGCCCTGTGTTGGGTTCTGTGCTGACAGCTTGCAGCTTGGAGCTTGGAGCCTGCTTCAGATTCTGTGTCTCCCGCTCTTTCTGCTTCTCCCCTGCTCATGCTCATGCACTCGCTCTCTCTCTCAAAAATAAATATATGTTAAAAAAATTTTTTTTAAAGAATAAAGTTAGAGTGCTGTATATGAAAACCGATAACTCTGAAACTTACAGATTCCTTTCGCAAACTTATTGAGCACTTACTATGAGCCAGCCATGTCCTGGTGCTTCATCCGAACCAGCTCGTTTAATCCACACAACAACTCTTGCACGGAGGCGAGTGCTGTTTTTTATGCCCATTTTATGAGTTAAGAAATGGAGCTCAAAGAATTACAAAGTCATACAGTTAATAGAGGGAGGTGCCAAGGGGAGAAGCTGGTCTGTCTGATTTCCGGGGCACTTGGCCTCAGACTGCCTATCTGTAAAATGGGATGATAGTCCTCAGCGGCCTCGTTGGGTGAGTGTGTAGTTCAGATGTGATGAGAAGTAGAAGCCAGGTGAGTGTATGGGGGATTACTGGAGAAATATTCTCGGTAGTTCCTAAACCAGCTGGGTAACAGAACAGGCAGAAGAGCCAGGCGTAATGAGTAGGGAGTGGTAGAGATGCCAGCCGAGACCCCCCGCCCTGTGTGGAGCTCATCAGCTCTCTCAGCTGTCTGGCACACTTGATGTCTACAAGGTAGACAGGAAAACTGTGTATCCCCGCTGTTCATGAGAGTCCAGAAACCCACACGTTTAAATGAAATCCAACCCTAGAATAGCGAAATCTATAAACCACCTTACGGACACAAAATCCTTGCGTGGGCTTCAAAGGGATGGGGGCCACCAGACTACAACCTACCTTTCTTTCTCTCTTGCTCTCTTCCTTCCTTCCTTCCTTCCTTCCTTCCTTCCTTCCTTCCTTCCTTCCTTCTTTCCTTCTTTCCTTCCTTCCTTCCTTCCTTCCTTCCTTCCTTCCTTCCTTCCTTCCTGTTTATTTATTTTGAGAGACAGAGCATGTGGGGGAGGGGCAGAGAGAGAGAATCCCAACCAGGCCCTGCACTGTCAGCTCAGACTCCAGCCAACGTGGGGCTTGATCTCACAAACTGCAAGATCATGACCTGAGTCGGACGCTCAACTGACTGAGCCACCCAGGCGCCCCACGACTACAGTCTTTCAAACCACCCCCAGGACGCCCGCCTGGCAGCTGCGCTACTTTGAAGGGACGCAGAACGGCACAAGAATCGTGTAATTGAAAACGGTCCTGATTCAGGACAGCGTAACCCCATTTGTAATTCACCGCACCCACGAGCTTTGAAATTATGCCACTCTTCATGAGTTTTTTTTAATACTTAAAGAGTTATACACCTTGAAATTCTATGCATAAAATGAGTCCTTATTAATCTAAAATGCCTAAAAAGAGTCTATATTAATATTCCTTATATGTAATTAAATTGGGGTTTCAAAGAGTTCAAAAATCACTTTAAAAAGAAAAGGGGGGATGGGGACCCTCCTCTGATATTTTAAAGGTACTGGAATGTTGTTGGCAATTTTTTGAGTCCTTCACCTGTGAAGTTTTCTCAGATTGCGATGCGGGAGTATGAATTAGCAGCTGCAAAAGCTGGTAGGGGACGCAGCAGCCCTGTGTCCCGACGCTGAGCTGACAGTCCCCAGTCTGCCCCTTCCTAACTCTGTGATTGCACCAAGCTACCTCACGTTTCTGAGCCCTGCCCTGGTCATCTGCAAGATGCGGCATTCGGGGGCGGGGGGGGGGGGGCCTCGGTGACGAGAAGTCTCCCTCTAACCTCAGTCTGAGGCTTCCTGTCTCCGGGGCTTGTGTTTCAGCTGCTCAAGGGCGAACAAGAACCCTCCACCTCGAAGCCCAGAATCGAGCTTCCCGAGCGGTTCCGCATCCGGCCAGTGACCCCAGTGGAGAAGTACATCAAGGTTCGCAAAGTTGTTTTGAATATTTATTTTCCTAAGTCAGAAATAAGCCCTGGAGGAAACTGTGTTCACTCCACTCCCCCGCGGGCAAGAAGCCGCGCGCCCAGCACGTGGGAGGCCGGGTTCCACGCCCTTTCCGAGCCCCCGTGCGGGGGACACGTCGGGTTGCTGGTCTGGACACACGCGAGAAGCACCGCGTCCAGCTCTGCAGAAGCAGGGCGTAGCCCAGAGAAGGATGGGGGTGATCCCGTCACTCAGCAGCCATTGCCGGGGGCTGGGCCAGGAACCGGGGCGGGTAAAGCACCAGGCTCCACCGTCAGACCACGGAGATTCAAATCCTGCCCGGCTGCTCACCCTCTGTGGTTTTGCCAGTTCTCAATTGCCCTGTGTCCCTTTTACACTGGAGGTTAATGAGAGCGCCTGTTTCAGGGAATAGTGTCAGGGGTCCGTGGGAGAACGCCTGGAAGGATCTGGAACGTCACCCCGCACTTTTGCAGAGTTCTAATGACCGTTAGCTATCGGGAGGTGCCAGGTGCCTGGTTGGGTAAACAGTGGTAAACACGGAGACAAGACTCCAGCCCACAAGTCTGGATTGGGGGTGGGGGTGGGGGTCCGACATGAAACATTAAAATCAACACAATTGTTAGGTGCTGCGCGGGTCGCCACGGAGGAAAGAGACGGGTGAGGTTTTGGAGGATGGCAGAGGGTGGGGCGATGCCCGTTGAGCTGAGGGCTGAAGGACGGCCAGGAGCCAGCCCTGGAAAAGCTTCCCTGGGATGTCGGCGGGGCTCAGTCGGTTAAGCATCCAACTCCTGATTTCGGCTCAGGTCATGAACTCACAGTTCATGGGTTCAAGCCCCATGTCGGGCTCTGCGCGGGCAGCATGGAGCCTGCTTGGGATTCTTTGTCCACTTCTCTCTCTGCCCCTCCCCTGCTGGCTGTCTATATCTTTCTCAAAATAAATAAAAAGAAACTTTAAAAAAAAAGACAGGAAGGAAGGAAGGAAGAGAAAGAGAGAAAGAAAGAAAGGCTTTCCAGGCAAAGGAAGCAGCATGTACAAAAGCTCTGAGGCAGAACAAAGTCTGATCTGTTTCAGGAGCAGCAAGGGATGCTATGAGGCTGAAGTTTCATGAGCCGGGCATGGGTAGGGGTGGGAAGGGAGGGGATGTGGACGGAGAAGTGGGCAGGGCCGGATCCCCCTGGACCTCAGAGGCCAGACTAAGGGGCTGGGACTTGAGCCCAATCTGCAATGGGAAGCAAGGCTGTGGCATGCTGAGGATGGCCTTTTTATTTTAAAAAAATTTTTTAATGTTTTAATTTTATTTTTGAGAGAGACAGAGAGCAAATGGGAGAGGGGCAGAGAGAGAGGGAGACACAGAATCTGAGGCAGCTCCAGGCTCCGAACTGTCAGCACAGAGCCCGATGCGGGGCTCGAACCCACGAACTGTGAGATCACGACCTGAGCCAAAATTGGATGTTTAACTGGCCTAGCCCCCCAGGCGCCCCGAGAATTGCCTTTTTAAAAGATCCCAGGGGCGGTCCCAGAGGGGAGAGGACTTAGATGGCCCTCCTGCCCGAAAACAGTCAGCCATGGACATGCTGCCCTCTGCCTCGCTGCGGAGAAAGCCATTCCGGGTCCTGATGGGAAGAAGGGATGAAGACTCGCGCCGAAGGTGGCCAGGCGTGGCAGGAGTGAGGGTCCATGCATTTTCTTTCCCTGATGCCCTTGGGGTCTGCTGGGGGGCCTGGCACACTGTGGATGAATCTGAATGAATAAATGTATGAACGAATGAGTGTATGAATGAATGAGTGAATGAATGAATGAATGAATGACTGCACTCCACTGAGATAGGTTGAGAGTGTTTCCCCCCTGATTACACAGCAATATAGATTCTCTGATATTTTAAAATATCAGTCCCCTTGGTAAACATTTTGGGGACTTCCTTCCAGACGTTTGCTCTGCCTCTACTTACCGTCCAGTAAACACCAGCTCTTATTGTCTCTGGTTTGTTCGCCATAGTAAGCGCTTTCCCTGGTCCTCTCATTTTCACAACAATGCTAGAAAGTAGATAGAATCCCCAGCAAACCCATTTTGCCCGAAGCAAAGGGCCCCGGGCACAAGGACCGTGATCCAGGCGTGAAGGGCACTTTGCTGGTCTCCTTCTGAACTTCCTTCCTTGCTGACAAAATGGTCCCTTCTTCCTCCTTCCCATCCTTTCTTTGGATGGAGACAGCCTCTTAAAATATGTTTATTTTTAACAGGCATCCTGGGCCCTAAAAGGCATGCTGTGAAAAGCCTCCTTCCCTCCCCCGACGCTCAGGAGCTGTTGTGGGCCGTGTCCCATGCACCCTTCCGTAGCCGGGTCCGCGTACACACCCTTCCGTAGCTGGCTCCACGCACGCAAGCACGTATGTGGATCCTTAGGCTTCTCCTTATTGCACTACTCACAACAGATTTTATGTGTTTTGTGCTCCTTTTTTCTCTTAGCAGTTTATGTTCAAAGTGCCCATCTCAGAGCATCCGGCCTCGCCTCGCTCCGATAGACCGCTGTCCAGTGTTCCACAGTGTGTCCCTGAGTCCCCCACCGGGACGTGCAGGCTGTGTCCGGTGATTTGCTATTACAAAAGGCCTGCAGTGAACCCCTCCCCCCCCCACCACTGGTGTGCGCGTGCACAGATGTTAGGAGGTCTTAGCCCAAGTGCCCAGGAGTGCATTTCAGGTCAAAGATGTTTGCGTTTTCATTTCTGGTAGATAAATTGCTAGAGTGCCCTTCACAGGCCATGAACCAACCTGTTCCCCCCAAACAGGTTACCGGCAGTGTTTTCATCTCTCTGCCAATCTGGTGGATGAAAGGTGGCTTCCCTGGGGGGTTTTCGATCGCATCTTCCCCTGCTAGTTGGAGGTAGATTTGGCAGCTAGGCTGTGTGTCCCAGGGGCCCGTGGGGACAAGCGGCTCAAGGAAGCACTGGCCTTCTGGCATCTGTCGATGACCTTCCCTGAAGGTGGCCTCTCAGGAGAGTCATCTGAGCACTTTGGCCGGAACATATGTTCTGGGACTTTGTGCACCAGGGCAGCCAGCCCCCAGGACCGCCCCCCGCTGCGCTTGCAGAGCCCCTGAGCTGAGCGTGAATGCATAACCCCACGCACCCAAAACCTCTCTGCCTCAGGTCTTCCTTTTTTTTTTTTTAATGTTTTTAATGGTTTTATTTATTTCTGAGAGAGAGAGAGACAGCATGAGCAGGGGAGGATCAGAGAGAGAGGGAGACACAGAATCGGAAGCAGGCTCCAGGCTCTGAGCTGTCAGCACAGAGACGCGGGGCTCGAACCCACAAACGATGAGATCATGACCTGAGCCAAAGTTGGATGCTTAACCGACTGCGCCGCCCAGGCGCCCCTCAGGTCTTCTGTTAGAACAAACATTCTTCGTGTTGTCTTTCATTCAAATCATCCTGTAAGAGCCTTACTTCAAATGGAAGGGGAGAAACTGCCTAAACATTTAGCCCTCCTTTTCCAAATTTTTCAAGTCTGTCCAGGGAATTGACAAACAAAACTGTGTTTTTTCATTTCAGACAGAACCTCCTTTTCCTTTGGTCTTTGATTAAATTCCATTGCTTTTCATTTCTGTGGACTCTACAGTTTGGGGGGTGTGTGTGGCACGTGTACACACATTTCGTAAAGTCTTCTAAGGAAAACGGGAGTATTTGTAACTGCCAGGATACCATCCGACAATATTGTCTTATATTTTGTAAAGGACCATGTGAAACTTATTTAATATTTCTTTTTTTTTAATTTTTTTTTTGAGAGAGAGAGCAGAGGAGAGAGAGAGGGAGACAGAGAATCCCAAAGCAGGCTCTGTGCTGTCAGCGCTGAGCCCAATGTGGGGCTCAAACTCACTAACCGTGAGATTATGACCTGAGCTGAAATCGAGAGTCGGACACTTAACCGGTGGAGCCACCCAGGTGCCGATATTTCTAAACCTTACTTTTTCCCCCCTTTTTGCTCTTTTATCAAATAAAAACTATTCTACTTGGGCATCTAGGTGGCTCAGTTGGTTGAGCATCCGACTTCAGCTCAGGTCATGATCTCACGGTGCGTAAGTTCAGGCCCCACGTTGGGCTCGCTGCTGTAAACTGTCAGCCCGTCAGCACAGAGCCCCCTTCAGATCCTCTGTCTCCCTCTCTCTCTGCCCCTCCCCTGCTGGTGCTCACTCTCTTTCTCTCTCTCTCTCTGTCTTTCAAAAAATAAATAAAAAACATTTATTAAAAATATATTTTGCTGGAGGTCATGAATTAACGTGTTAAACGTTACCAGGTACAGAAATATACCAGGTTTTACGATTGTGCGGGAGAAGCTCGTACCAGGGCCCAGCAGACTGGAGTGTGCTTACCTCAGGTGCACCTCACTTAGGGACACTTTTCTGCCTTTTCCCCATCAGGCCTCTCATGCCGATCCCGGTGTTTCGGTGGACATGCCTCATGTCACTGTGACCCAAGGCTAACCCGCCTACATCTCCCTTCCAGATCCTTCCATCCCCCCCAGTCCCGAAGACGACGTAGGGCCTCATCGGCTGGAGATCCGGGGTGCCGGGCCTGAACAAGTATCTGGAGCACGATTGTGAGATCAGAAGCTGCAAAGGGGCATATGCCAAAGAGCTGAGCTGGCCGAGGCAAGGCATCCACTGAGCCCAGAGACCAGCCCCGGGCAGCTGATGTCCAAGCCAGCGAAGGGAGGAGCTCCCTGGTGCTCTCTGCTGATACAGTCTCCCCCATGTTTGCTCAGCAGATATTCCAAAGAACACAGAATAGCCCCTTGACACTTTCAATTCATCAACACCTCCCTTCCAGAACATTCTCGTAGCACACCCATTCTTGGCTAATGTAATGAATAAGCCAAAATAGACTCTGAATTTTTCTTTGCTACCTTGGGAATTTCTAAGTCTGGCTTTTAAAAAAACAATGTGATTGAATTTTAAGAATTAAATTTTGTCTAGGTCCTTTATTGTCCCACCATCTGTTTATAATGAGACTGTTGACCAGGTGTCTCTGAGCCCCCAAATATTCCTGGACCTGCTTTTGCAGAGGAATAGAGCTCTTTGAGGATCCCTTGATTCTCCGTTCCCAGGATACTTGCAGTAAGTCAACAGCTTTGAAGGCAGAAATGAGGCCCAGACTTGCCACTGAGCATAGATTTCCAGGAGAGGATGGGTTCCCCGTGCACTTTATTAAAACCTCCCCGCAAGGAAGGTGTGGTGTGGACCTGTATTTGTATTGATACACGTGTTCAACAGAATATTACTCGGTGATGAAAAAGATTGAAATCCTGCCATTTGCAACAACGTGGATAGAATCGGAGGGCATTACACTAAGTGAAATAAGTCAGTCAGAGAAAGAAAAAATCTATGATTTCACTCATGTGGAATTTAAGAAATAAAACAGATGAACACAGGGGAAGGGAAAGGAAAATAAGATAAAAACAGGGAGGCAAACCATAAGAGACTCTTAAATACAGAGAACAAACTAAGGGTTGCTGGAGGGGGGGGGATGGGCTAGATAGGGGATGGGCATTAAGGGGGGGCACTTGTTGGGAGGAGCCCTGGTTGTCATACATGAGTGATGAGTCACTAAACTCTACCCTGAAATCATTACTACACTAACTGTTAAAGAACTTGGATTTAAATAAAATTTTAATAAAATAAAATCAAACAATAAAATAATAAAAAAAAGTAAAGTAACAAAATAAAATAACGCCCCCTGTTCACTTGCCCCGGCCACCGTGTCACAGCACCTGCAGCAGCCGAGCCGGCCAAGCTGGGCCGTTTTCCTTCTGCCGCGGACATGTGATATCACCCCTTTGGTTAACATTTTGTTTCTGGTCCCTGACAGGCCCTGAGGCTTTGTTCCCGGGCCCACAAATGAGGGATAGAGGTAGGTGTGGAAAGTGGGGGCATCCACTGGTCAGAGGGTGCCAGAAGGAAAAGCCAGCATGCCCACAGGGCCCCCCACCCGGGCCCCAAGGAGGGAGGGGGGTCAGCGGCCTGTGGAAGGTGGTGTGTGTGTTTCTGAGGAGCAGACCTGCAGGGGGCAGGGCGGGAGGGGCCGTGCTGGCTAGGTCATCTGTCCTCCACGGACACGCGTTCCCTCCCCCCTTCAGCTGGTACCGGCGCTGCTCACGGAACTCCCCGTGTTTGCTTGACCAGGGCCGGGGTTGGGGTCTCCTACATGGTGCGATCCCCCATCCACCCAATCCTTCCCTGCTCGCCTTCCTGTCCAGGTATAGGGCGTGCTTTACCCATCCCAGAATCCCTCATCCAGAACCTTCCCCCACCCTCAACACTGCGCCTCTCTAGCAGGCCCCTACAGGGACTCCACGACTTGGAAGGCACCAGATACCAGAGGGACAGAAATCCTATGCCCTGCACAGGGGGCTCGGAGCCTCTGAACCCTAGAAGCCCCTGTTGTTTGCAGACATCGCTCTCTGGAAAGTGGGCAGAATGAGACCTGAGTGACCGGGGCACAGGCTGCAGACGCCTTCACACCAGCTGCTCAGGTGCTGAGAAGAGAGCCAGGGTCAAGCTTACCCGCGGCCGGTACTCCATCCCCCTGCAGCCTTCTCCTGCCCAGAGCAGGCCACTCGGGTGCCCATGGCTTCCCCTGGAGGAGCCAGAACACACCAGAAGCAGCCCGTCGGAACACTTGCTGTTCCCTCTGAGCGGGGGCACCCCCGCTAATCCCCTGCCACACTGACCACAGCCACCAGGAAAGCCCACGGTCATCTTGGCTCACATCCCCCCCTGCGGCCCACAAATGGCACAGAAAGGAGGAATGCCACAGCTCCTTAGGTCCTGAGGGAAAGAGAAGCAAAGAACCCTTTGGGTTGAACTGTGTCTCCTCCTAAAAGATATGTCGGAGTCCTAACCTCCAGCATCCGTGATCGCCCGAAATAGAAGACAGGCTCATTGCCGATGTGATGAGTTAAAGTAAGGTGAGGTGCAAGATTAAAAGCTTCTGCAAGGCAAAGGAGACAATCCATAAAACTAATAGACAACCGACAGAATGGGAAAAGATAGTTGGCAAATGACATATCAGATAAAGGGTTAATATCCAAAATCTATAAGGAACTCACCAAACTCCACACCCGAAAAACAAACAACCCAGTGAAGAAATGGGCAGAAGACATGAACAGACACTTCTCCAAAGACACACCCAGATGGCCAACAGACACATGAAGCGATGCTCAGTGTCCCTCCTCATCAGGGAAATACAAATCAAAACGACAATGAGATACCACCTCACGCCAGTCAGAGTGGCTAAAATGAGCAAATCAGAAGACTCTAGATGTTGGCGAGGATGTGGAGAAACGGGCACCCTCCTACACTGTTGGTGGGAATGCAAACTGGTGCAGCCCCTCTGGAAAACAGTGTGGAGGTTCCTCAGGAAAATAACAATAGAACCCCCCTAGGACCCAGCAATAGCACTGCTAGGAATTTACCCAAGGGATACAGGGGTGCTGATGCATAGGGGCACATGGACCCCAATGTTCACAGCAGCACTCTCCACAATAGCTAAAACATGGGAAGAGCCTAAGTGTCCATCCATGGACGAATGGATCAAGAAGATGTGGTTTATCTATACGATGGAATACTCCATGGCAATGAGAAAGAATGAAAATCTGGCCTGTGTAGCAACACGGATGGACCTTGAGGGTGTTATGCTGAGCGAAATAAGTCAGGCAGAGAAGGACAAATATCATATGTTTGCACGTGTAGGAGGATTAGGAGGAACTTAACGGAGGACCATGGGGAAGAAGAAGGGGGGAAATGGTAGGGGAGAGGGAGAGAGGCAAACCATGAGAGACTCTGGAATTCTGAGAACAAACTGATGACTGATGGATGTGGGGAGAGGGGGGAGATGGGCATGGAGGAGGGCACTTGTGGGGATGAGCACTGGTGTTATATGGAAACCAACTTGACAATAAACTATTTGTAAAAAAAAATAATAATAATTAAAAAAATGAAAAAAATAAAAAAACAAAAACAAAAACAAAAAACGAAGTAAAAAAAATAAAGTAAGATGAGGTGGCACTGGAGGGGGGTGGGCCTTAGGTCAGATGACTGGTGTCCTTAAAAGAAGAAGAGAGACACACACACGGGGAGGAGATGGGCCACCGTGTGAGGAACAGGCGCGCAGGGGAGGGGGACGCGTGGTGACAAAGGCAGGAAGCAGGTGATGTGTCTACAAACCAAGGGAGGCTGAGCATTGCCAGCAAGCCACGGAAGGCCACGGGAGGCCACGGGAGGCCACGGGAGGCCAGAAGAGGTGAGGAAGGATCGTACCGCGAAGGTGGGCAGAGGACCAGGGCCTGGCTGTCACCTTGATTGTGGACTTCCAAGCTCCAGAACCAGGAGAGAATCAGCTTCTGTTTCTCTTTCTCTCTCTTAAGTAAATTTGTTTAAATGTTTACTTATTTTTGAGAGAGAGAGAGAGAGACAGAGTGTAAGTGAGGGAGGGGCAGAGAAAGAAGGAGACGCAAAATCTGAAGCAGCTCCAGGCTCTGAGCTGTTAGCACAGAGCCCGACGCGGGGCCCGAACCCACGAACCGTGAGATCATGACCCGAGCCGAAGTCGAACGTTTAACGGACTAAGCCACCCGGGAGCCCCCCCCCCCTCTTTTTTTAAGTTTATTTATTTATTTTGAGAGAGTGAGAGAGCAGGGGAGGGACAGAGAAAGAGGGAGAGAGAGAATCCCAAGCAGGGTCTGCACTGTCAGCACAGAGCCCGACATGGGGCTTGAACTCACAAACCGTGACCCCACGACCCGAGCAGAAACCGAGAGTCGGACGCTGCACTGAATGAGCCTCCCAGGCGCCCAAACTGCTGCTTCTCTAAGCCCCAGGGCTGGTCCTTCCCTGCGCAGGGACAGCGCTGCGCACGCTCTGCCTCCCCCTCCCCGCCCTCCTCCCGAGAACGCCCTCCCGCCCCCACGTGTCTCTCCTGGTCATGGCCCAGCTGGGTCTCCATGAGAACAGGTCAGTGGCCCACTCAACCCCAAAGATGTTTCCAGTCCCCCAGAGGTTTCGCCAGCTGTGGACTAAACAGCACGATGCTCGGCCATGCCCTTCCCATCCAAACCTAACACTCTGGCATCTTGGTCATCACTGCAGGCAAGGCCTCTGCCCTTGAAGAAACCACGTCACTTCTCGTGACCAGATGCCACCGCCAAGGCCGAGCAGAGCGGCCAGGAGGGACCGCTGCACGGCGCCAACCATCGGAACCCCACAGGACCGCAATTCCGGCCGGCCTCCCCGTGCCAGGCAGCAAACGCCGCTGGTCTGGGGCCAGCTGCCACGGCAGGTATTGCTTCTTGTTCTGACCTTTATTATTTCTTTTTTTAATAGGCTTTACATCTAGCATGGAGCCCAACATGGGGCGTGGACTCACAACCCTGAGCTGAGATCAAGAGTCAGACGCTCAGCCGACTGAGCTACGCAGGCCGCCCAGCTTTTTGTTCTAATTCCTGATCCTAAAATGAACCTGAGAGTCACATGCCATCTGGGCTCCCGCAGGCATCCTGACCGAGCCTGGGCAGGGATCCAACACGCCCAGTTCAACTACCCTGAAACTTGCTGCTGTGACTTTTATTCTGATCTTAACGGACTGATCTGTGTTGACTCAGTGGCAGCCTCACTTTAGGGAGACCGGTCAGCAGATACGGTTGACACAAATGGCCACAGAGTTGCTGAGCAGGCCAAGCCACGGACCCTCTAGAAGGACGGCAAATCGGGTTGTAACGGTTTGTCCCTCCTGGTCCCCGTGCACCAGTGGAGGAGAGGGGTGCACCCATGCCCACATTAGATCTTCCCAACTCCAGTTGCTTGGGAGAAGAAACATTTAAAAGACTCAGATAAACTTTGTGCCCTATTGTGGGAATGCAAACTGGTGCAGCCACTGAGCAAAAGAGTATGAGGGTTCCTGAAAAAAACTAAAAACCGAACCACCATCTGATGCAGCAATCCCACCGCTGGAATTATATCTAAAGGAAACAAAATCTCTGTCTCAAAGAGATATCTGTACTGCATGGTGACTGCAGCATTCATTACAAAGTCGAAGATATGGAAACATCTGAGCTGTCCATCAGCCCACGTCTGGATAAAGCAAACACACTGTGCACTTATATACGCCGTTTGCAACAACGTGGATGGACCTTGAGGGCATCATGCTGAGTGAAGTA